GCAACGGTATTAGTCTTTCTTGTCTTGGGTCACAGAGGATGTAAGATACACTGTATTAGTCAGCTTCTGCTGCTGTAGCAAATACCTGATGTGAATCGGCCAGTAAGACACAGGTTTACTTTAGCTAGAGTTTTCAAGGCTTTAGTCCAGTCAGTTGATGCAGGCTGTATTGAGGCAGCGCACTATGACAGACAGTGGCCCAATGGACTGTTCATTGTACAGCCAGGAGATGTGAAGGAGGAGGAGACCAGGGCATGCCCCCAATGGCCTGACCTGGTATATTCCTACTGGGTTATAATTCTTAAAGGTTCTGTCGCCTTCCTTTAGCACTAAGCTGGGGACAAAGTCTTAACACATAGGCTCTTGAGGAGCATTCTAGGTCTTTATACCTTTTTTTTCTTTTTTGAGACAGGGTCTCATGTATTCAAGGCTAAAATTAAACTTGCTGTGCATCTGTGGATGGCACTGAACTCCAGATCTTTTTGCCTCCACCTCCTGAGCACTGAGGTGACAGACATGTGCACTCAGACCTGTCTTATGAAGCACTGGGTGACAAAGCCAGGGTTTTGTGTATGCTAGGCAAGTGCTCTACCAACTGTGAGACAACCCCAACCTTTCCCCTTTTCTGATACCTTCTGTCTTAAAAATTGTAGCACCCATCATGTATGAGAATTTCTACTCTCCTCAGCGGAATGCAGCCCCACCAGGAAAGACTACAGGGCCCAATGTAGCAAGGTAATAACCAACTGTTTTTCATGTGAAGAAAAAATCTTAATAAGTGTTTATATTATTAATGATCTAAGATATTACCTTTAATTTTAAATTGACCAAAATTTGCATAATTTACCTATTAAGGAAACTGAGTTTTTTTGAAATAGCATTTTTAGAACAAATATTATATAACCTTTATTAATTGCAGTTTCTGGGGTACTATAGTATTACTTGTTTATGAATTCTATGCCTTCCTATGGTTGGAAGAACACAGGAATGAACAAACTATGCCCCCATTTGAGTCAGATCTCATCTGCAAGTTTTCATAGGGCCTATGAGTTAAGAAGGATTTCTCTCTCTGTCTCTGTCTCTCTGTTTATTTGAGACAGGACCTCACTCTGTAGCCCAGACTGGCCTTAAACTCACAGAGATCTTCCTTCCCCAGCTCTTGGGTACTAGGATTAATTGCAGTCATGAGCCATTATGTTTTTTTTTAAGATTTTATTTATTTCTTATGCATACAGTCTTCTGCCTGCATGCCATCAGAGGGCACCATGTCTCATTGCAGATGGTTGTGAGCCACCATGTGGTTGCTGGGAATTGAACTCAGGACCTCTGTAAGAACAGTCAGTGTTCTTAACTGCTGAGCCATCTCTCCAGCCCCTGCCATTATGTTTCTTTTTAATTATTTTTAGCTATGTGTAAGTGTGTGTGTGTGACTGTGTCATTGCATGCTTTGTGTATGTGAATGCCCACAGAGGTCACAAGAGGGCATCAGATTCCTTGGAGCTGGAGTTACAGGTGGCTGTTACTGGGAGCTGACCTTGGCTCTTCTGAAAGAGCAGCAAGCACTCTGCAGTCTTGAGCACTGATTCATCTCCCCAGCCCTGGCTTATAAATTTAAAATGACTGGTGTTCATATAGAAAGCCATTGGAGCATAATCAGTGGATCTCTCTTTTTATCTGGCTGTCTTCCTACTAGATCTAAGCAGAGGTGTGCCAGAGACATTGTGGTCAGCAAAGTGGAATGAGCCACTTCCATTGGGCCCATTGACAAAAACAAAATGTGCTGCTCCTAATATAAAGGGTCTTGAGGGAAAGAAACTTTTATTTCACACCAAGCCAGTGGGGGTGGGGTGGGGATGAGGTCTCATCTGTCGAGTTTTCTGTCCAGTCTTAGGGAAAGTGGTAAGTGTTTAGGAGAGGTCAATGCATACTGTCAATAGTAAGGGCCTTTCAAAACAGTAATATGACTGAGCTGACAATTCTCCCAGAGAGGGGAGAGCTGTTTGTGTTTCTCATCCTATGTACAAAGACTCTGATACGCCAGGGGGTCAGTAAATTTTGTTCCAACAGCTGAAATTAAAATCGAGACAGCAGGCCCTGGGCAGAGCTCCACACTCCTGACTGCTGTGCAGTCTGCTTGTTGGCTTCACATGTGCTTGCCTTTTGGGTTTCTGCAAGTCAGGGCTGCAAATCATTTGCCTCATCTGAGCCTTCCTGACTCTCTAGGATAGAAGCCAGCTGATTACAGTGTGTTTTGTTTGCAGCACGAAGTAGAAAGGTGTAAAAATAATTAGAGCTCGCCTGAAAGACTTTGGTTTTCATCTCTTACAGGAGAGGACCTCTCCCAGTTCCTAAACGTTTACCAGGTATGTATGCCACCAAGAAAAGCCTCTTGGAATTTGAATAGCTAGAATGTGAAAATTAGAACCAGGCATGCCTGACACGTGGGCTTCATGACACAGCTCCATCATCTACAGAGTCTGTACTTGAGAGCAGTGTAGTCTAGTTATCAAGAATAAATAAATAAATAAATAAATAAATAAATAAATAAATAAATGTGTTTTAACTAAGTTTTTGAGTTTGTGTTGGGCCATGTTCATAGCTATCCTGGGCTGCATGAGTGACAGGATGGAATTCCTAAGAGATTGTGCCTATGTTTGAATCTTACTATACAACTTTCCCTTTTGAGGTACAGTCTCACTCTGCAGCCTTTAATTATAATGTTGCACACTGAGTAAAAAGGAGTCATTTTCCAATCATGCTGATCTCCTCTGCAGTACTGCAGACAGAACCACACATAGCATTTTTTTTTTTTTTTGGTTTTTTGAGACAGGGTTTCTCTGTGTAGCTTTGGAACCTATTCTGGCACTCTCTCTGGAGACCAGACTGGCCTCGAACTCACAGAGATCCACCAGCCTCTACTTCCCAAATGCTGGGATTAAAGGTGTGAGCCACCAACGCCCGGCTCATTTTTGTCCTTTCTTGATGATGTCCATGACATACCCATGAATGAAAAAGAGCAAATAATGATTTCTAGAATGTTTTCTGGTTTGCAGTCATGACTATCAATTTGGGCTTTGGTGCCCATATTTTGTATTTTGATGCTTTTAGTTGTTACAAAAAGGCAGTTGTCTGAATCTTGAAGTGGACGGCTCAAGTTTGAAAAGGGCTAACCCAGTTGCTCTCAATCTTCCTAATGCTGTGACCCTTTAATACAGTTCCTCATGTCATGGTGACCCCCCAACCATAAAACTATTTTCATTGTTACTTCATAACTGTAATTTTGCCCCTGATATGAATCGTAATATAATTGTCTGATATGTAAAATATCTGACTGATATGAGGCCTCTGTGAGAGGATTGTCTGATCCTCTCCCCCGTGGGGTTTCTACTCATCGGTTGAAAAACACTAGGTTAAGGTCTTATCAAGAAAAATGATTAGCTTTATTCTGCCCCGCATTCCTCTCTCTGCAGATGATCCCGATTACTCCTTGGTTGAGGACTACACTTTGCTCTATCAGTAGCACCAGTGGTGGTAAGAGTCTTTACCTTTCCTTTAATCCTGTTGAACAGCATTTCTGAAGCCTTCGGACCTTCTTAAGAACATCACCAAGAAGCCAGGTCTGCATCAGGCAGCATCCTGGTGGGTGTGGTGTCCTCTGTCCCTTCAGGCTCACCTCTAGAGCCTACAACTGTGAGCTGCCTGGAAACCTGTTGGAATGAGGGCATTTCCCCTTCATTTTTCATTATTCTGTGACTCTCTGAATTTGCTTTGCCTTTTTGTAGCTTTTGCACACCTATGTTTCAGCACCCCCAGATGTAGAACACGTGCAGTTCTCAGTCTTTAATATAGTCCTTATTCCCCCGAAAGGGGAGAAGTCAGTGAAAACCATGTAAGTGGTATCACTCACCAAACACAGGAGGATCATGGGAGTCAGCCTGTTTCAGGTCACAGGCTGTCATTACCTGAACTAGCACATCACAAGGATTCTTGGATGATAATTCAGCACTGCTAACCAACCGGAGCTACAGAGGTGACCACACAGTGACTGGTTCTCTGGGTACTCAGGCAATTGGCACATTTTCATAATGTGAAAAATGCCTCAGAAACCAAAAGCAATGCTAAATGAAATTCCCTGTAGGATGTACTGCTTGCCAGGGCAGGCTGAGCCTGCAATATAACCGTGGGATTTCAGTAGCAAAGAAAGAGGGGCTCTATTTCCCAGTAACTATTTCCATTTCCGGTCTGTCTTAGCTTCTCATTTGTCTGTGATGAGACAGTTTTATTTCTTCGATAAAAACTATTTTTAAACAGTTGAGCCATTTGAGTTTTTCTGATTGTGTGTGCTTCTGGGAGTCACAGGAGAGTGAGTGAATGGATGCAGGAAGCCATGAAAGACCTAGAGAAGTGTCACTTCTACTCTTCCTGGTATTGATAACATTTACTGTCAGTTTGAGCAGTGCCCTCTGGAGATTTGTTAGTCTTGTGTCCTAACCCACCAGAAAGCACCAGGAAATTAGCATATCCAACGTCTCTTCAGCCCCCAAGCCACCTACTTGCTGACTTAACCGGCATTAGCTACACAGGACAGGAGCCAAGTTATCTTAATTAAATAGAAATAATTAACTGGTATCAATTTATATTAAATAGAAGACCTTAAATTACTTCATAAATATGTTTAAGGTGTGAGTAAGGTGTGAATATACCACTTTTTGTTATAAAAGAGATGGAAACTGAAGACATTAAATTTTCCATTCTCTGGCTAGCTGTCCATATAATATAAATTGTAGTCTTTACATCCTGTCAAAATTGCTTCTTCATAAGACTGCCTTTTTCTCAGAGCCCTGATTAGAGACAAAGCAGGGACATGGTGAATGAATAATTCATCAGGCAGATCTGTTTTCTGGACCATGGTGCAAATGATGGCTGTGGGACAAAGCATTGGCAGTCCAAAGAGCTTATTAAATATATATTACACATATATTTATTATATATTTACATGAACTAATATTTTACCTCTTTGTCTCCTGTTATCTAGATAAAGCATACATGTTATGGGCTTAAGACTAACATTTGATAAAGAACTCTATTTCCAAAAAAAAAAAAAAAAAAAAAAAGGGCTGGAGAGATGGCTCAGAGGGTAAGAGCACTGACTGCTCTTCCAGAGGTCCTGAGTTCAATTCCCAGCAACCACATGGTAGCTCACAACCATCCATTATGAGATCTGGTGCCTTCTTCTGGTGTGCAGATATACACGGAAGCAGAATGTTGCATATATAATAAGTAAATAAACTCTTAAAAAAAAAGAACTCTATTTCCCCAGAGTCCAGGAATCTCATGTGTGAATGCATGATGCCAATGCCCATGCATTTAATGAGTAGAGTCTCTTCAAACTGTATAATCTCTGCACCAACTCAATGAATCCCTCAACATGTTCACATATAATTGGCTGGATTTCAGAGAATCTGAAAAACTTGCTTTCCCTCTCCAGCCCCTTCTCTCCATGTGTGCAGGTGCCTGCAGAGTCCAGGAGAAGGTGCTAAGTCCTCTGAAGCAGGAGTTACAGGTGGCTGATGGGTGCCGAGAACTGAATTTAGGTCTTCTGGAAGAACAACAAGTGCTCTTACCCACTGGGTCATCTCTCTAGTCTCAATTCCAGAGAATTTTAAGGGAAGGAACTTGACTTAATTAATTCACTTAAGCAATGCATTATACTATATATCTGACTGTAGCATAGGGGTTGAAATTTCATAGGACCTTAGGCATTAGTAATTTGTTCAGTAGTTTTTTATTTTAGTTGCTACTCCTGTTTTTAATTCTAACATGCTTAATAAAGACAGATGACAATTTTTGAATTGAAAATTCAAGTTGGCATGAATAGGTCATTCAAATGAAATGTCTTTGCTATTTTCTTTCAGAAAAGAAAGCTTCCCCTCAGTTACTGTTTCTATGATGTGAGAAGAGGCCCAGAGAGCAGCACAATCTGTAACCAAATCGTGTCAATCATGAAGACTTCGATGGGAACCCTTGTTGAAAATTTTTTGATATTTTAAATTTATAGTAGACATCTGACTCAAACTAGCTAAGTAGAGTCTGCAGAGTTCTTTTTTTTTTCTTCTCAGAAAGTTTACATACTGCCCCAGAAGGAAGAATTATTGTTTCCTGGTTAATTACTGAGGTTATGAGTGGTGTTTCCTGCCTGGGAAGCAAGGCCACGCTGGATTCTGAGTGTTGGCTTGAACAGGCAGGGCTGCAGAAGATGGTGTCAACTGCTGAAGCTGCTCCTTAGGCTGGGGGATGTAGGGCCACAAAACAGTGACACCCCCTCTCAGTAGTGCAATACTTAAAATCACCTTTGCCTGGAAGACTTAGACACGTCCGATTGGACTTGATCATTTTACAGATGGGGAGACAAGAACCAGCATGGTGAGATCAGTTTCCTTACAATTCTGACAGCCAATGAAAGGAGACAGAACCAGATCCAGAGAATATGTTTGTTCTACAGTACTATTCTTCTAGCCTTTTGTGAGCCTGCCATGCTCATGCTCAAGTTAAGGAAGGGCTGGCAAGTTGGATCAGGGAGTAAAGGTGCTTGTGCAAGCCTGAGGACCTGGGCTCCATTGCTGGAACTCACATGAAGGTGGAAGGAGACAACCCACTCTACAGTTGGCCTCGTCCTTCCATACATGCGCTGTACCATGCAGAGAGCTGTGATTGACATGCATGCGAACACACACACACACACACACACACACACCACACACACACACACACACACACACACACACACACACACACACACGCCTGGCTGTGCTCTGGAACATTTAAAGAGGCATTCTTTATTTGGCTCTCCCTTTGTCACCCACACACGACAGGGAGATCGTGCACCGTTTATGTGGTATTTACACCTGAGAAAGTGGCACACTTCAGTTATGACAAAGTACGTTAGCACTGTTTCTTATTGGGCATGTTGTAAATGTCTGTGTCACTGCAAAGAACAGACAAGTTCCTCTTTTCCATACAGTAGTTTTCCAGGACTTTGAACAAATTGATTAAAATAGGATTGAAAGATGGGCATGGTGGTGCCTGCCTGTGATCACAGCATGCTGGAGGCTGAGACAGGAGGATTGTGAGTGTGAAATTGGCCTGGGTACATAGTGAGAACCCTTCTCAACCCTTCCCCATGAAAAGGATTGATTATTCCTCCTCTTTCAATATAAGATGCTCCCATCCACGGCAGCTTTTTGTCATGACAGGAAATTTGCACCAGCTGGGCATCCTTTTGAGAAACTCAGGTTTGCAAAGGTCCATTGACTTCCCCAAACTGGAAAGCCTCAGGAAATTGTCCATTGCACATAGCACATTCTGTTTTTAAGTATATTATTTATTGTTTGCAAGTCCTTAATGATTTATGTTTTCTATTAATCAGCATACTTGATGTAAACGTGTTTCATGAGTGTAAAATATTTTAATTTTATTGCTTTTTTTCCTGCTTGACATGAAGTAAAATAAAAGTGATGATTTGGGATTTAATTTGGATTCTTGTGCCAAGTGTACATCTCTTCTGAACTTTATATGCTCTCTTGATTCTTTGTGTGTGTGTGTGTGTGTGTGTGTGTGTGTGAGAGAGAGAGAGAGAGAGAGAGAGAGACAGAGAGACAGAGAGAGAGAGAATATGTGTGTATGTGTGTGTGAGTTCAGTCTCCTGCCACTGTGCATAAGTGGAGGTCAGAGGATCACTTTCGGTGATGCTCATTGCCTTCCATCTTGTTTGACATGGGGTCTTCTGTCCCATGTATACGGCTACTGTATACGGCCGGCTAGTTGTTTTTTGAGCTTTTGGGGACTTTCTTGTCCTTACTTCTCACAATGTAGAAGCCCTGGGATTGCAGTTGTGTCTCGCCACATCTGGCTTTTATGTGGGTTTTAGGGGTCAGAATCCAGGACCTCACACTTGCCCACTGTACTTTACCCACTGAGCCATCTCTGAAGTCCTTAACCTCTCCCCTTTCTCTCATGGGTCTAAAGCACATCCATAGCATCTAATCAAAGACACAGTATGCCTCTTGTATTAAAATTTCATGAGAATGACAATTCAGCAAGTGTCTAAGAGTCCCTAGGGGAATGGTAATGAAAAAATAATTTGAGAAACACTAGTCTAAGGTAATGTTAAATGGAATTTCATATGATATATCAGGCCTTCTATAAACTGGCCAGGCGCCATAGGTTAAAGGGCAAACCCATTCTTGAGGTTTGTCCTGGCAGGGAGAAGTTGTTACCTACTCCAGAGTGGATAAGATTTGATGGCTTTAATTTACTGTTGGCCTCAGCACAGATAATCAGCAGTAGTTACTAGATCACATGGGTCAGTAGAGAGTCCTTGTATAGTCTCATTTCCCTAAGCATGGCTTTTCTGTTCATGGGCCTACCAAGGAAGCACTGAGGCAGCCAAGGAGAGTCCAGTGCCACCCACCAGGGGAGTTATCCCAGCCATGCACTTCTGCATCTCGCTTGCAGCAACAG